GGTAGATACCTAGGAGTGGGATTGCTGGGTCATAGGGAAGCTCCATGTTTAGCAGTTTGAGGAACCTCCAAACAGTTTGCCATAGTGGTTGTACTGGTTTGCATTCCCGCCAACAGTGCAGGAGAGTTCCTTTTTCTCCACATCCTCGCCAACATTTGTTGTTGCTAGTAGTTTGAAGATGTGCCATTCTCACTGGGGTGAGGTGGTATCTCACTGTGGTTTTAATTTGTATCTCCCTTATGACAAGTGATGTTGAACATTTTTTCATAATGCTTGTTGGCCATCTGCAAGGAAATTTAATACTTTTATTGTGCAGTCACATCACAATAAGCCCTCAAGCAAAATAAAATATTTTGCACAGGTCAATCATGTAAAACGACATGTCACTGTGTATTGCACCTTACCCCAGATCTCTTAACTGATTGGCGTTTTATGCAGTTAAACATCTTTTTAAAGTAGTTTACCAAAGTTGGATATTAACCATTTATCCCAAATGATTGTGAGTTAACCACCAATACACTGAATGTTTTCTTTACTGCTTCGATAGCGTTTTAATGTGGCCTTGTGATAGAGGCATATTTACATATGCCTCATAGGTCTTTCAGATTTTCTTTAATGTAAATCAATCTACTTTGGCCCCACCTACCTCAGTTAACTGTCTTTTCCACTAGAGGGGATGAGGAGACAGTCTGTCCAGAGATGTGCCTCCAGGTAATTCTGCTATGTCTCCCCAAAGTTTTTATACCAAGTATTCCCTCTGTGCCCTATTGAAAATTAGTTAATAAACTTAAGAAAGCCTCAGTAATTTTCAATAAAATCACATTGTTGACTAAAGATACAAATGTTTTATGCCAAAAAGATACAAATGTTTTATGCCAATGTTAGTTTCCTCTTTTTGATGAAAGTTGTTTAAAACTTGGAGGTTTTCAGTGACTACTATTTAGTAGAAATATAGGGTATTTGAGGAAAAATAATTACTGATGTGCTGTATAAAGGGAATGATCAGAGGAGAAATTAAATTTTGGAAGCATGTAATTGTATCCATGGTTTGTTTTTGTGTTAAAATTTAATGTGTGAATTTATGGAATATCTTTGAATTCATAAAAAAAATTTTTTTAGGGCCTGCCTTAAGTGTGAAAGTAATGACTGATGAAAGTGGAAAATCCAAAGGATTTGGATTTGTGAGCTTTGAACGGCATGAAGATGCACAGAAAGTAAGATTTAAGTATACTAAAGGAAGTTTTTTCTATATTCTGCAGTAAGGGGTGGTATAGTTAGGTTGCTATTATGTTGAAATTTACATGGATGCTCATGGCTATTTAACATGTTCCCTGGTAACCAAATGTGTTTTGAAAGTGAATTAGAAACCTGTAAAACCCAAAACCTTTAGTTCTTAAGATGCATCCACTTTGAGAATCTTATCACTTTTTTTAATTAAAAGTGAATTTATGTGTTACAAGTTAGTAACTCAGATTTTGTTTGATTTCCATAAGGCTGTGGATGAGATGAATGGAAAGGAGCTCAATGGAAAACAAATATATGTTGGTCGAGCTCAGAAAAAAGTGGAACGACAGACGGAGCTTAAGCGCAAATTTGAACAGATGAAGCAAGATAGGATCACCAGATACCAGGTTCATTTTTGTTGTTGTTGTTAAGATTTATTTTTATGCATACAGAATTAGGATACAGGCCAGAGAAGCAGGGGGTGATGAGAGGATTCACCAGAGACAGAGTGGCAGCAGAACAGGCAGATTGAAGTACACTGCTGAGGGGATCAGGGGGGTGGGTCAGGAGAGGTCTGCCTTGGCATGTGGGTCACCTCTGGGGTGGGCGGGGATCGAACTCATGCTGAAGTGGCTTTAGCTTCTTAGTGCTGTGCTTTAATGCACTGCGCCACCAGGAGGGCCCCAGGTTAATTTTTAATTGAACAAGCAAAATAAGACAGGGCTGAGGAAACCTATTTTACATTCATTTCAGTTACTCCCAGGTAACTGAAGGGTTTGAAGAAGGGGAAAAGAGAAGAAACATGGGTTAGGATAGAAGGAGGTGTACTTAGCTACCTCTGCTTTTTTTATTTCTATAGTTATGTTTCTTCTTTTTAGGGTGTTAACCTTTATATGTTTCTTCTTTTTAGGGTGTTAACCTTTATGTGAAAAATCTTGATGATGGTATTGATGATGAACGTCTCCGGAAAGAGTTTTCTCCATTTGGTACAATCACTAGTGCAAAGGTAAAGCATACAGTGCTGTTATTTTTTTAACCCATGCTCAGGGATATGTCAGCAGTTTCATGTTAATACATCTTACGTAACTACTAGAGTGACCTTTGGTAAACAATAGTCACATTGATTTTCTTTCAAGAAAAAATACTACCCATTTTTCTGTGAAATAGATATTTGCTTCATACCTTCAAAGACTTATATTCGGGTTTAAAAAGTAGATACTGGGGCTCAGTAGTTTCTCTTTATGGATGACAAGGTTTGTTTCATGAGGAATGAAGATAGATGCCTGTGACTGTAGTTAGTGATGGATCATTCATTGCATGATAGGCACTGTTCTGTACTCTGTCCAGCTATTGGTTTAGGAAGGGAACTTGAGAACCATAATTGTTAGTTTAGCTATAATTTATATTCATGTCAATTCATTCGTGTAGTCAAGCGCTAGCCCTGAGTATAAAATCTAGAGATACTTCCTTTTTCTGGGAACCAAAGTATATCTTGGGTATATACTTTTGTATGTGTTTAAAACTAGAATCAAAGGCTTAGAATTTTGAAGAGTCTAGGAAATTTTAAAACTTCTTTGCGTGATTTTTTTTTTTTTTATACTGGCCAACCTCATTGACCCAAGGGAACGTCTGTGGTACTGAGAAATGTTGGGTGGGAGGGGAAGTACATGAATACAAATGAAATTCAAGTGACGTGGTTGTCCTGTAATTCAAAACGTACATTTTTAAAGTATCTGGAGTGTGGTAGAATTTATGTTCCTCCTGCCCCCAAATTCTTAAAGTTGAATGTTGGAGCTCAGCTTATGAAACATGCATGTTTTACAGTGGAGTCTCTTTGCATCATAATATCACTGTTTAGCAGAGGTGCAAAATTTGCCTTGCCCATGTAATTTTCCATACTGCTAAATTTTTTTGAGAACTGAATGTACCATAACTTTACTGTGCTGGTATAGATAATGCATTTTGAGTCATTAAGTCTGTTAATATATTAGATCCACTACTCAGCAGGCTTTCTTAGACATAATCCTGGCACACATGAATCCTCAAGTTCTAGAATTGGAATTGCTGGATTAGTAGGTATATTTAAAGTTGATAGAACCAAAGTGTGCAAATAGGCTTGGAACAACTGTCTTGTAAGGCCTTAGCAGTAGAAAGTGGTCTGTATTTTTTTTGTTTGGTTATCTTATGGATATAGGAAGTATGCTGTGTATCTTTAAATTGCAAATATTATTCTAGCTTTCACTTAAAACTTTGCAATCACAAAAAAGTGTAAATAGGGGAATCTTTCTGGTAGTAATGTGAATAACATCTAACTTTTTATCTTTCATCAGTTGTCCCAGGTACTAAATATAAATAGTCCACTTTGCCCATTCTAGAATGTTAAAACTTTTAACAGATGTTATTTGTATGGATATATTTTTGGGTTCTTATTTATTATATTCAGAGTACTAGCAGGTTGTTTGTACTTGTTCATTGCTTGCTTAAAACTATTTATTTGCACTGAGAACTGAATATTGTTTACATCCCAGTATTCCTGACTGTTCTGGTCTTGAATACAAACTTTATCATAGTAAATACAAGCATTTTTGTCTACTCGAATTTAGTAGGTCTCCAATGCATGTAGTTACTTGATCCTTAATATTGAAAATCTAACTGAATATAATGCAGTTCACCAGAATTCGTAGCTCTACCCTTTATCCTAACCAACCAAAAAAGACCTGAAGAAAGCTAATGTATTAGTGTAACTTGCTTTTCATATCTTGAGTGTTTTGGAAATTTCCCCTAAAAAAAATCACTAACAGGGTTTTGTTACTTAAGTCAATGTATAACTTGATGCTAATAATTCTTTTTGTATTGTGTAATGAGCATCATTAACACTTTTTTTTTTCTTTCAACAGGTTATGATGGAGGGTGGTCGCAGCAAAGGGTTTGGTTTTGTGTGTTTCTCCTCCCCAGAAGAAGCCACTAAAGCAGTTACAGAAATGAATGGTAGAATTGTGGCCACGAAGCCATTGTATGTAGCTTTAGCTCAGCGCAAAGAAGAGCGCCAGGCTCACCTCACTAACCAGTATATGCAGAGAATGGCAAGTGTAAGAGCTGTGCCCAACCCTGTAATCAACCCCTACCAGCCAGCACCTCCTTCAGGTTACTTCATGGCAGCTATCCCACAGGTAAATTTAAGAGAAAACTAGCCTTTCTTGAAGGTTTTCTTATTTGTCTCTGTTAAGGGGTTGGGGGTAAACCACTAAGATGGAAACATTAGTAGACCTGATTCTACTAATGAGAGCCTTAAATGTTCAGAGAATAAGAAAGT